GATGGATTTGCTTGGCGTGGAATTGACACGCTCTGCATCGCCGGACCAGGTCGACCGCATCATTGAGAGCTGTCGGCCAATAGAAACCTTGTCGAAAGGCTTTGCCAACCAAGGTGCGCGAGGCGGAGTGGGCTCCGCATTCGCCTTCATGGATACCGGCAAGAAGCTCGACGCCTTGTTCCCGAGGAATGCACTTCAGGAGGATTCCGTTAGCCGCGCGCCGATAGAGGGTCCCTTCTACCAGCACGTAGCGTTTGGAGATGCGCTGGACGCGTTCACTCCCTTCGCGGTCCTCGGGTAGAGTCTTATCTGTGAGGTATGCTTGGATCTCAGCGATCCAAGCAATCAATCTAAGGGAGCTGGGAGCGCTCCCCTCGGGTCCCGAGGCCTGGACTCCGACGGGCATCGGGGGCCTGTCAGGCGCGTCCGTCTCCCCTAAGGGGTCGGGTCGCGCCGACGGCTGGGCAAGCCTTTCTTCAAAGGCGCCCGGTGGGGTCTGGGCTCGCGAGGAAGCGAGCCGTGAGAGTTCGTCGGCAACCGTGTTATCCCGTCTGGGCACGTGCCGAAGCTCTATCCCGTCAAAATGGCGCTCCATACGCCGTACTTGGCGCACGTAAGCGTCCATCTGCGGGTCAGAGCACCGGTACTCCTTACAGACCTGGTTAACGACCAGCTGGGAGTCGCCTAACACCAGGAGGCGGCGGATCCCCAGTCCAGCTGCCACCCTGAGTCCCGCAAGGAGTCCCTCGTACTCTGCCATATTATTGGTCGCCCGAAAGTCAAGGCGAACCAAATATCTGAGGACGTCTCCGCTCGGCGAGGTCAACGTGACCCCCGCACCGGCGCCCTGAAGAGACAGGGAGCCGTCGAACTGCATCACCCAATGGGCGGTGTGAGGCAGCTGCGAGGGGCCCGAGCTGGCCTCGGGGACTGAGACGGGCTCGGGAGCTGGGGTCCACTCTGCCACAAAATCGGCGAGGGCCTGGCTCTTGATAGCGTGGCGTGGTTCAAAGTGCAAATCAAACTCAGAAAGTTCGATTGCCCATTTCACCACCCGTCCAGTACCCTCTCGATTATGCAAGATTTGGCCGAGGGGGTAAGACGTAACCACCGTGACCCGATGTGTCACGCCCAGAAATTTAGCCCAAAATTTCCAGACTATTTTGTGTATTAAATCCCTGTCCAGGACCAGCCAGGGTACACAAAACGACAAGTAATATACAGTTCCAAACGTAAATAAAGCGTAAAATACTTACAGAAGAGGCACTTAGTCCTCACACCGAAACAAAAGCAGCAGCAGCGGAAAAAGGCGATCCTAGCGGGGCTTCAGCTCCACTCCACAGGCAAAACTCAACTGGGGTCTGAGCCTTGGTCTTCTAACTTCGTCTTCAGCTCAGAAGCACTACACTTCTGAAAAGGGGGAATAATAGCAAGGCTGAGTACAACCACCGTACTCAGCAAGCCACACCAACGATGCAGACGTGCAAGGGGAACACAAGGACGGTTTGTGGCTATTTGCATAAAGGCGGTTGTAAAACATTTTATTGAGCAAAACAGTAAAACCGTTGAGTAATTAAAGTAACATTAAATCTCCACTGATCAACGCTACACCACGTTGAACAGGCCCAACCAACCCACCTAAACTACAGTGTATTAGGTCGATTTATTGAGGTGGGACTAATCACGGTGAATCTGGTCGACCGCCCATTACGGTGAATCACGGTGAATGGGCTGACATCTTCTTCCTCCTCCTGTCACACCGCCCTGTCCGAGCAGTAGATCCGGGGGCGGCCGAAGCTGCCACACCGGAACCGGAGGGGTTCCAGGTCCATGCCTCTTCCTTACGAGCCACTCGGTCCGCGAGCTGAAAAAGCTCCGCGGTAGTCTGGGGCTCTTTGGAGGCGATCTTTTCGAGCATGCGGTTGTGCCGCACACCCCCCCTGAACGCGTAGATCACCGCGTGTGCAGGGATGCATGGTATGGTGTTGCGGACTTGACAGAACCGCTGAATGTATGAGCGAAGTGACTCATCATCCCTTCGCTGGACTGCATGTAAGTCCGCTTCTTCACCTGGGCGCGGATATGTGCCTTGAAAGTTCATGGTGAACTGTTGGCACAAATCCTCCCAAGAGTGGACGGACGCGGGTGGCAAGTTCATTAGCCAACCCCGTGCCTGTCCCTTCAGGGCCATGGGAAAGAAATTCACCATGACCCTGTCGTCACCCCCGGCGGCCTCGATCCCAGTCGTGTAGACCTGGAGAAACTCGGCGGGGTTGACGCTCCCGTCATATTTTTCGGCGATGGTAGGCCGGAACCTTGGGGGCCAACGGACGTTCCGAAGGCTCGCCACAAAGGCTCTACAGCCGACACCACCAACCGGGGGCACGGAGGGCTGATCCCCGCGTCCGTGTTGATGTGACACTCCGGACGAGGAGGCGCCCTCCGTTGCGTAGGCAGCACGTCGGCCATTACGCCGGCGCTCGATACTGATGCGGGCATCCGGCCCCCCACGCAGATCTTCCTGGGTCGGAGGCGCTGACGAAGGAGTGGCGGCCGAATGGCGAGCAACAGCCACCGCTCGCCGCGCCCTCCGCCTTGACGATACGGAGCCGGTGGTAGCAGCGCCAGAGGTCTTGGTGGCGGAGGACCGCCCACCAGCACCTAGGCGCTGCCGTGCCGTCATGACCAAGTTGGCCACGTCGTCCAGCCAACGTTGGGCTGGAGACTCCGGGTCAGGGACAATGGGCGGGTGACGTAGGAGCGCGCCCGCAGCTTGGAGCGCGCCCTGGGGCGTGCTGCCGTCGCCGTAGACGAGGAGGCGACGCTCCCCATCTCGCCGCCCTTCCCCATCACCCGTGGATGTCGAAGTCGCGGATCCTTCGACCCTCTCGAGCGCCTCCTCCCGCCTAGGACTTTGGCGTGGAGGGGGCGGTGGAGTACGAGCTCGACGGCGTGGGTTTGGCTCCCCGTCGTCACCGCTAACACTCGGAGAGAGGTTGTGCGCCTTTGCTTGTTCAGCCATTGGGCTGAACAGGAAAAGCTTGGCGCACACGAAAGAATGCGAGAGCTTAGAAAAACACACGCAGAGCCCCCTACCTGGCGCGCCAGATGACGGAGCGTGGGGCTCCTCACCGGGAGACCGCGCAGGCCCCCCTTTGCCGGTTCGGCCGGGGGCCCTGGGTGAGATTCTAAGCTCCTAGTCTGTGGAAAGTTCGCGAGAATGGAAAAAGCACAAGACACGGGCGATGTATACAGGTTCGGGCCGCTGAGAAGCGTAATACCCTACTCCTGTGTTCTGGTGGATCTGTGTATGAAGAAGCTACCAAGAGCTGGAGAGCCAGAGAGCTCTTATTCTAAAAACCCTCTTCTCCTCTCCCGATCATCCCCCCTTTCAGCCTCCTCCCTTAAGTGGGCAAGGTCCTCCTTTTATATCTCAAGGGGATACCACATGCACCACTTCTCCCTCTCCCCCTTTTTGGGTGGGAGCCCATCCTATCTATAGTAAAACTTGGCTTGCCTTCTCTTGGAAGCTGAAACACTGCCTGTTTTTGAGTGTGGCCACGCGTCCTCGTTCGTCTGACCTCGGGGATCACCCTGTCATCTCTTCATAAATGGGCGGAGATTTGCAACGGCTGCTGCCCGAGTGACCCTTCTGATGGGACGGCCCATACCTACCTCCACTCAGCCGGAAGCAGGTGCAACGTGGGAACACAGTTGTCTTCTGGCGACATAACCAGTGTCAGACCAGTCACAGACTGGTCACCTTTGTCCACCACGTGTCAGTTTAGCAATCTGCATGTTCGTCCTTCTTCATACAACGTCTTGCTTATAAAGGTTGGGATAAAGCCTGGCATATATCTGACTAGGACCAACGTGCCATCTCCAGGAGCTAGCACGCTGGCTCCGGCTAGGGACGAGTGCCTAGAGACTCTCATTCTGACAGGACGGGGCGAGGCGTGTGTCAGATCGCCTGTTGCCACCTAACCCGCAATCTGACCGATCTGTGACCGGTCACAGACCGGATAAACGAGCGTGCCATACTGCGCTACATGTGGCGTGACGCGCTCGTCCAAACCGCAATAAATGCGGTTAGGTGAGCCCCGCTATGCTCACCTACCCCATATACGCGGCGCAAAACCCACAAGGGGTCGGGGCGCCTCGGCCCTCGGGGCCGAGACGGGAGCGGTCCGACCCCTCGGGGAGACAAAGAGAAGGGCGGTCGTATCACCCTCGGGCCCGACCCCCCCGAGGGGGTTAGGCCACGTGGGTGATCGTGTCTGCCTCAAGTCTCTAAGTCATGATACTCCCGGTCCCATGTCACCGACACATGTACATCTCAGCAATAGACTAGATAATAGTAAACCACTTCAATGGTATGTCTACATGGATATCTATAGCTCTCTAATCCATTGCCTCGTTTTTCTCTATAGACTATCTCCAGGATAGTAGATAGCTTTGCTCTCTCTATTCATTTAATCTTTTCCAAGTAGGAAAATATGCTGACATTGATCTCTTGTAGAGAGCCTATAGATAATCATTGCGGGTGCCCTAATAAGTACGGTGGTTGAACATTACACAATTCTCAATCCAGCACAGTAATTACCAAATCACTCTAGTTAGAAAACACATTATCTCTCATTTCCCCCCTTAAGAGCAGGTACAATAGCAGGCTATTAGCCAGCTGTAAACATATTTTAATGAGATAAAGGATGAGAGAGAAGAGCAGCGGGCTACAGATCTATAGCCAGCTGCAGCACGGACTCCAAGACATAATGTGTGTATGACAGGTGGAACCAAGTATTAATAGTATAGTAAGCAACTATTATATAAATTGGCTATTAGATTGGCTACAAATGAATTAGAGTTAGCAGTGGGCTATACTATTAAACTTGCTCTAATAAAACGGTAAAACGGTCATTCCTGTACACAACGCATTAAATGCTCCCTTTCCTTACAATTCCCCAAAAAAACCGCAACACCCCTTCCCTCCCATCATCACTCCCCTACTCCCACTCTTCCCCTCCCCACCCCCACCTCACTCCGCCGCCGCCGCCGCCACCCCATGTCGCCGACGACGCCGCCACCGCCGCCGCCGGAAACCTAGCCAGCCAGCCATCCAGCAAACTGCGAACCCCAACAATGCCGCGCTCGTCGACCACCCGCCCCGCCGCCCCCGTCCGCCTCCGCCGCAGGCCGCTGAAAACCCCCCTCGTCGTTGCTGCCGCTGCCGCCTCATCGTCCGCCGCCGTGGGGCTGCCCCGCGGGGGCGGGCCGGGCACGCCGCACCTGCGGTGGGGCGCCGGGGAGCGGGAGGAGGAGGAGAACGGCGGGGAGAAGGGGAATGCGGTGGGGGCGCCCGGCCGCCGCTCCGTGAGGCGGCTCGCCGCGGCGGTGTGGCGGCTGCGGCCGGCGGAGGAGGCGCCTCCTCCGGCTTCCCGCCACGCCGCGGATCGTGCCTGCCTCGAGGTAACCACGTCTCTTCCTCCGTTCGAACACCCTCAAATTTCACCACCCCCAATTTTAGCCCGCATTTTGCTCCAATTTGCGCCGATTTGGGACGAACGGGTGGCCGCATTGAATCCCGCACCACCACCTCGTGTACCGCCGCCGTTCATGCCCGTGGCGGCAGGGCAGCAGTAGAGGCGTTTAGCCGTTGCGGCAGCTGTACGGCGCTCTCCAGATCGAAGCACAGATCCCGCCATTAATGGCGTCCTATCAGCATTTGGTGATCCATCTTGATCGTTGGGAGTGGCATTTATTGACAACCCTATCGCCATGGGCGCGTTTCTTGTGATCCGCTAATCTTTTGCTCATGTGATCCATCCACTCCTACTCCTCTTTACGTGGGGACCCGGCTCTGGCATTGAATCTTCGGCGCGCAGAGAGCAATCAGTGTGTACTTCTGTACCGTGCTTGGTTCTTGATATGGAAGTAATCCGCCTGTCCCCTGCTGCTACTGTTGCTGCTGCTTCTAGTTCTTTGGATGCTGGAATTTACTGGTACCTTGTCAGCTTCTTGCTGTAATGGGAATGTTTCTACTGCGGTTATTATAGGTGTCAGCTCTGTGCATCTGACAATTTGGTTCCAAGAGCAAACAAATGCATTGTTTGTGTGAGCTGGGTTCAGAGATGTCTCGCAGTAACTTTGTGGAGGCTGGGGGGTTGCTCTGGTGTTTCATGGTGGAAAGATACGACCAATCGAAAAGCAGTATAACTGCTAGAGTTTTATAGACATGGATATTCATCTTGGGTTATCTGCGCAATAGTTTTGTTTGTGACTTGTGAGCTTTGCTTGTTTTGATGTGAGAGTTATTTTAAAATGTAACAACATGAATCAGCAGATCTGACTCTGGATGTCTAAATTTGTTACCTTCATAGTAACAGAGTGAGTCATATGCTTCTGGGAGGAGATGAAAATGAAAACATTTTTAGTTTCTGGTTATTGACATTCTGTTGGTCGTATGTTAACTTGTTGGTTACATTTACTTATGACAGCATATACCAAGGCATCTACAAGTCCAACTACTTAGGAAGGATCATGTTAGCACTCGATATGGCCTGAAGAATGAGACTTCAAGCCCCATATCTGTCTTGGAACGACATAGTGGAGAGCTCCACAAGGTAATGCTAGAAACTGCTTGCTTCAAACTTGCTGGTATTTCTTCTGTACTGTATAGTTAATTTGGCGGATTTAATTGTGTAGGGCCAACTTCATCTTGCTTCAGACGTGTTGCCTATAACCAGCTTGGAGAATGTAACAAAGTGGGAGCCTGACGGCATAGAGGGGATAGAATCAGATGGTGCCTATGTGATCGCCAGCCAACTAAATCTCATTGAAGAACAGAAAGGGGAAAATTATGTATCGAACCTCCAGGTGGAGCTTCAACAGACACGGGATAGGGTCGGCAAGCTAGAAGCTGAGCGGATTTCAGCCAAGAAGCAACTTGACCACTTGTTCAAGAAACTGACAGAGGAGAAAGCAGCTTGGCGGAAGAGAGAGCACAAGAAGGTTCAAGCCATTCTTGAAGATATGAAGGCAGACCTTGAACATGAGAAGAAGAACCGTAGGCAACTAGAGAAGATTAACATAAAGCTTGTTGATGAGTTGAAGGAGGTCAAAATGGCAGCAAACAATCTGTTGCAGGAGTATGACAACGAGAGGAAGACACGTGAACTCACTGAGGAGGTGTGCACCAAGCTGGTGAGGGAGTTAGAGGAACACAAGGCCGAGATTGAAGGCCTGAAGCAAGACTCTCTGAAACTGCGTGCAGAGGTGGATGAGGACAGAAAATTGCTGCAGATGGCTGAGGTGTGGCGTGAAGAGCGTGTGCAGATGAAACTTGTTGATGCTAAACTCACCCTTGAAGCCAAATACGAAGAGTTGAGCAAACTGCAACTAGATGTTGAGGCAATCATCGCCTCTTTCAGTGACACCAAGGGAGACGATACCATAGTACAAACAGCAAAAAACATCTTACAGTCAATTGAATCAACCAGGGAACAGGAGATCAAATTCACGTATGAACCACCACCAGCATCGGATGATATACTAGCAATCATTGAAGAGTTACGCCCTAGTGAAGAGCTCGAGACAAGGGAAACTGAACCATGCCATAAGCACAACTCTCCAGTACACGAATCAGAAAACCAGCAAGATTCCCCAATGACTGACATATTCCTGGAGAACCCAACCAAACTGTACTCAAATAGAAGCCATTACAATGAGAGTGACATGGGTGATTCCAGCAGCTGGGAAACCATAAGCAATGAAGAGATGCAGGGGTCGAGCTCTTCAAGGAATGGAAGCGAACCTTCAGTCAACAAGATATGTGACAAGATTTCCTGGACCAGTGGGGATGATTCTGAGGCTGGGCAGAATGACAACCTGAGTGGTGAGTTGAGCAAGGCCTACTTCGCAGACAGAAAACCATCCAAGAAGAAAGAGTCAGCCATATCAAAGTTCTGGAAGTCATCCCCTCTGAAAAACTGCGAAATCTTCAAGATAGATGTCGTGGAGATGATGAACAGGAGATCATCGAACGAAAGGCTGTCAAATGGCATGCATTCTTCGAACGAAGGCGCCAATCAAGATGCAGGACTCAGCTCGCCAAGTATAGGGCAATGGAGCTCACCTGACTCGATGAACAGCCAACTCAACCGCGGGTTCAGAGGCTGCATGGAGCTGGTTCAGAAGCAGAGCTTAAAGGCGAAGCTTCTAGAAGCTCGGATGGAGAGCCAGAAGATCCAGCTCCGCCATGTGCTCAACCAGAAAACCTAGAACTGCAAGAATTGAAGAGCGACAGGCACTTTTAACCCTGCAATTTACAGCAAGAAATAAGGCCAGGCACACGATTTACTCCATTTTCTCTTGTGCATTGTAGCATGTAGCCTAGTCTCCTGTACTTTTAGTCTTTTTACTCCATAGAAATGAATAGCTAGCTGGTTGTAGCCTTGTAGTGGTAGGCAGCCTGGCAGTAGTTGATGTTGTCGTATTGTTGTAGTACTGAATTCTGCTTGGATGCGTAACGTAGCAACATAATACAAGCAGCATTTTTCAGACAAAGTTCAGCATTGTCAATGAAAATTTGTAATCTCGATCTCTCCCCATCGTTAAAGCTCTAATTCAGATCGGCTTTCGTGTTTTGAAGGTTTGTCATATCCTAGGTTAATTACGAGCTTGCTGTATTTGATTCAGTGATATTTGAATTTTCTGAACATATTTTAAAAGAATGAAATAAACTCAAGCAGGAAAATATCTCAGTTAGATCCAGTCTTTTTTTCAAGCAAAGGAGGGTCTATGTTTGATTTCTTAAAAATAATTCCAAACAATTCATATAAATGTTTATTTGGCATTATAGTTCACAAGAGACGAAATTTGAACAAGGAGTTTCATTTCAGTTGTATATGCTACTTCCTCCGTTTCACAATGCAAATATGAATGTGGGAAATGCTAGAATGACTTATATTGTGAAACGGAGGGAGTACGTAAATATATGTAACATCGACAAATGGAAATTTTTCCATTTGCTCATGCGGTCATGCCTCGAAGCATGTATGAAATCTCTCTAAAAACACACAAATTATAGCCAGATGCAATGCAACAAAGACTTGAGAAATCAGTGCAAGCAATTCCAGTAACTCGTTCAGCAGCAGCCTTGTGCACCAAACATTTGCAGAAAGCACAACCAAGCCACACTGGAGTAGCATAGATTTGCGGTAAGTAGACAGTTTGGAGATTTCTAGAATGGTTAGCCAGGTACATAGTTCTTGAACACATGTCACTATTTTTCAACCGCTAGATTCCAAGTACAATATCTCATTGACACGGCATTACAAGATTATCATGGATGGCACAGGAGTTGACATTACACATTGCTTTGCTTATACAGCTTCGTGTCCAGCACTTGCTTCCCGCACATTGCACATACACCTGAAACAAGTCAATATTATGGTCAGAAATCAGAATTAGTAAATAATAATGGATAGTTCTCATAATACTGAGCATGTCTCAGATAATATTCACTTGGACTGCAAGAATGCACATGTATCAGGTTAAAAAAGAAACAGCATTGTTCTTGTAAGTCAATGATGCCAATTAGGAACAGGGTGTTCCTGACGGAGCGAGTTCCTTACCTTTTGAATATGCACAGGTGTGGCAGTACTTGGCGTCCTGGTGGACCTGCTGCTTGCAGATTACACATTTAGTGTTTCCATATGGAGTCCACCTGATATTAAAATGTTGTACATATTATTAGCTTACATTCACAACAAAATATCTTTTGAATACAATTTAAAAACTTAAGATTTACAGGTAGTAGAAAAGGCACAAAATACTTTACTGAAAGGAAACAAGATGGCTTTTTCAGGGAAACGTGCAGTAATTGTTCAGGATTGGCTAAAACAGTTGGCTATGTTCAATCCGGTTTTGGAAGGGGTTGGGCAACATGTGCGCTACATGCGAAGTGCTTTTTATTCCTTGCTGGTACGCCTCCTTCTAGCCAGTACAAGTGTGAAATATGATTTCAAATGATTTGTCCAACCTGTTTTTGAACAAAGCTACCAGCATAATATATACTATGAAAAATTCAAGAGTATGCAGGATCAACACAGCAATTTTGAATTTTAAGTTGAAGGCACCGAAAGAAAAGGACTGAACATCTGGCTATCTTCATCATATATCAATATGAAAGCCCGTACCTCTTCTCCCACTCCACAAAACCCTTTACTCTTGGCTCCCCTTCTCTCTAAAAGGCTCAGCGGTTTTGATGGGTTGTTTTCCTTTTTGCTATGTGCAATTGAATAATGCTATTTGTAAACATTCCTCCAGTAATGGAGGATAAGCTACCGTGGTCCCAAACAGTTGGATGGGTCTTTATAAACATTCCTCCACATGGATTGAGGAAACAAGAGCAAAAGAACCTTGCAGCCTTGCCCCATCTAAGTATTGGCGGTCGTGTTGATGGAGAAATGAGTTTGTAGTTACAGGATGATGGCGAAAAATGACCGTGGCATGATTTTTTTTTAAAAAAAAAAACCAGCATTGTTGAACTTCAAGTTCACCAACATCATTCAATCAAAATAACAGTTATAACTATTATGGATCTTAATTAAAGGGTGATATTCATTTTCTTGGAAGAATTATGATCCCCAATCAGTGACTTCTATAGCTATTGTTTGAATCACACACATGATCTACCCATTCCTTAGTTAACACACTTGAAATTTCCCCCAAAAGCGATATAATCCAGGAACATAAGGCACACAAGATTGGGCACAAAACGAACAACCGTCAACGATTTCTAACCTAATCAACCAATCAATCTCTGGGGGATTCGCACCATCGAAATCAAACCTACGCTATCTGAATCCCCGATCGCTGCTGCTACGGATGGGGACACGGAATCAAAAGAAAGATCGGGGAGTAAAGGGATCGACCTGTTCTTCTTGGAGAGGAGCTTGTTCTCGTTGATCTTGCGGCCGCCGCTCTCGTTGGTGTTGCTGGCCCCCTCCTTCCACTTGTCCGGCACGATCACCTTCCCCAGCTTCTTCTCGCCTGCTCAAGCCCAAAACCACAACCCGGTTCAGCCGCGCACGCAAGAGAAAAAACCTAGGGCATGATCTTTCCAACCCAAAAAAAAAAAGAGAAAAAAAATCTAGGGCGAAACAGAAGAAATTGAGCGCGCGAACAGCTGATCCGGCGGCGGATCGAGGCGGGGGTAGAGATCCTTACACTTAGCGCACACCATCGCCGCCGCCGCCGCCGCCGCAGTTGGGGTTGTGGTCGAGGAGAGAGAGAGAGAAGAGGGGAAGAGGAGAGAGAGAGGCGGTGAGGAGTTCGGTTCGGGTCTGGACGATGGACCCGTTTATTAGCGGGTGGCCCACCCGGCCCGATTTCGTTTAGTGTTCGGATTTGTTTTATCAGACTCATAATAATAATTTTATTATACAGACTAAATTGCTCCCACGGTACAACAGCTTGGCAGGTGGGTGCGATATAGTGCAAGAACTTGAGAATTAAACGTTCGAGTGCAACAACTTGACAAGTGGGTACATTTTAGTACAAAAACTTGACAATTTAGTATTTTATTGCATCAACTTAGCTAAACATATGCTAGGTGAGTTTTTTTTTGGCACGATGTTAATATGCCATTACACGGCAATCCTATGGATATTACTTTATAATATTTAATTTAATCTTTAAGAATTATACTGCACATTCAATTTACATCTAATTACCTCTAACAATTTTTGTTTTCTTCACCTTCCCAAATCTCAACCGAAATATAATAATTTCTATATCCAGTTTGATTAACTTTCAATTATTGTTATTAGGATAAAAATATAAATATGCTTATATACAAATCCACACGAGTATATTGTCAAAAGAAGTGCTTAACAATTGAATATATATAAAAAAGTGCTTCAAATAATTAAGTTGTCGCATAACTTCTTAACTTATTGTATCAAAATCATGCATACCTTATAAGTTGTTGCATTTATGCGATCACTTATAAAGTTTTTATACTAAATTGCACCACCTACCATGTTGTTGCACTAGAACACTAATTTCTCAAGTTTTTGCACCAAATTGCACCCACCTACCAAGTTGATACACCGTGGGTGCAATTTACTCTTTATTATACTTACTCCCTCCATCCCAAAATATAACAACTTTTAGGCCTAAAGAGTTGTCCTAAAATATAGCAACTTCTCCATCAACATTCTCTTCCAACCAATCACAACCCTTCACCATTCACTTTTCTCACTTACCTTACTTCCACTACCCATCCAACCACATAGTCTACACTAATTAACAATGACATCTAAATATTCTGTTGTATAATCTGAACTTTAAAAGACCCTTCTTTCAAACTAAAAAATTTCACATGAATTTGAGGGGAAAATTTTCTTCTTTCTCAATAAAAACCTCAAATGCGAAGACATAGTTGCCACTTCACTATCATATTATAAACACATTTTTTGACTAAAGTATAGAAACAATCAAACAAACAATTTCCCAATTGTACTATGATAGCACGGAAACTTTACCAATTCGACAGTTCGATTCATGATTTCTTATTTTCTTTACTTATTTTTTCATTTAGTAGCATCTTATAATATCTTAAACATTAATAGTGAGTTCCAAAATGCATATATTGCGAAGTGTTGTAGACTTGACACAAGTCTTTTTGTTTACAGCTAATTATTTTTTAAGTGGTATGTGACGTATACCTTGACAGCGAAATGCCCGTGGTGCTTTTCATAGGAGTGAGCGTATATGTTTGTACTGTGTTTTTTTAAATAAAAATAAGGTACTCCATCGTTTCATATTATATAAATCATTTGATTCTTTTTATAGTCAAACTTTATTAAGTCTAATCAAATTTATAGTAAAAATTAGCAACATATAAAATATCAAATTAGTTTTATTAAATCTACTATATTTTGATAATATGTTTGTTTTGCGTTGAAAATATTACTATATTTTTTATAAATTTAATTAAACTAAAAAGAATTGACAAGAAAAAAAAAATCAAACGACTTAGGAAACAAATAGAGTATATACAATTAAAAATGCTAATCACTCCACCTCTCCTGATTTCGACTGAAAACGGAATTTTAGTGGCGCGGGTAATCTCAAAGAAAAAAGAAATACTATCTGAGAAAACGGCGAAATGATCATAATAATATCTCCCCTTTCCTCCTATCCTAGTCACCTCCTGCTCCGTCTCACTCTTGCTTGCCTCTCTGCGTGATCCCGATCTGCAGAGCTCGCCGCCGGCGAGCTAAGCCCCGGAGGCGCGCGCGTGGACGCCCCCCCCCCCCTTCTCCTCCGAGCAGCGGCCACCGGTGGCCGCCGCCGCCATCTCGGTCTCGAATCGAGGTGGACAGGTATTCGTTCTCGTCTCCTTCCTCTTCCCCGCGCCGCTTGATGAGTCGTTATTAGATTGGAGATCCATCAGGGATGGCTGGGTTGATTTGTTTCCCTCAGAATTACGCATGAGTTTTTTTCTTACTGCGGTGGTAGTGGGTTAGTCAGCGACAGCCGTTTGTTACCAAGGAAAATATTTTTGGGGGTGTTGGTTTGGCTTTTGTTCTTGTTTGGTTTGTTTTGATCAGCAAAATTTTTCACTTTTGCATCATCAGCAGATCTGTCTGTCCATTATAACCACACTATTGATGCTCTTATCCATCAATTCCTGAATCATATCCTTTCTCTTTTTTTGCAGAAAAAAGTCATCAGCTTTCTGCATGCGATTTGGTAGATACTGACACGTCTTGATTCTGCTCAAGGAAGGCAGCTGATTGATTGGTTGGGAGGGCAAACTAAAAGGGGTGTAATCTTGGCCAATTCGATAGAAAAACACAGAGATTTAGTGGCGAGAATGGATTGGCTGTCCGCGAACCTGCAGGTGAACCCTCAGGTGACTGTCCATGGGGACTGGGTGTCAGCAGTCATGCCGCTGATGAAGCTGCTGTGCTTGACGGTCATCGGCCTTGTGCTGTCCAACCCGAGGACGCAGATCATCCCCAAGGCCACCTTCAAGCTCCTGAGCAAGCTCGTCTTTGCGCTGTTCCTGCCATGCCTGATCTTTGTCCACCTTGGCCAGTCGGTCACAATTCAGAACATCCTCGACTGGTGGTTCATCCCGGTCAACGTGCTCATCAGCACGGCCATCGGGTGCATTCTTGGGTACATCGTCGCGCTGATCTGTCGCCCGCCGCCGCAGTTTTTCAGGTTCACGGTGATCATGACCGGATTTGGCAACACGGGTAACCTCCCAATCGCGATCATCGGGTCGGTTTGCCATACCACGGATCACCCCTTTGGTCCTGGATGCCACCGCAAGGGTGTCGCTTATGTTTCGTTTGCTCAATGGGTCGCTGTTATTCTTGTCTACACCTTGGTTTACCATATGATGGAGCCACCGATGCAATTCTACGAGATTGTAGGCGAAGGGAACGAGATTGTGGAAGAGCCTGCACAGATCAGCAACTACAGTAGATCTCTGCTTCATGAAGCGGAATGGCCAGGGATGGCTGACAAAGAAACGGAGCACTCAAAGACGCCATTCATTGCACGGGTTTTCATGAGTATTTCAGGCTCTTCACAGAATACATTTCCTGATATTGATTTTGCAGAAGAGGGCACTTCTGGTGCTGGACCTAGCAGTCCAAAATCGCTAAGGTGTTTGGCGGAGCCAAAGGTTGTAAGGAGGATCAGGGTTGTAGCTGAGAAGACTCCAATTCAGCATGTTCTCCAGCCACCAACCATCGCCTCCTTGCTCGCCATTGTCATCGGCATGGTTCCTTTGTTCAAAGATTTTGTGTTTGTGCCTGATGCACCACTGTCGTTCTTTACAGACAGTTTGGAGATTCTAGCTCAAGCCGTTGTACCCTCGGTGATGTTAATTCTAGGGGGCATGCTTGCAGAAGGACCCAAGGATAATGCCTTGGGTATCCGGACTATCACTGGTATAATTGTTGCAAGGCTCCTGATTCTCCCGTGCATTGGCATCGGTGTCGTCCTGCTGGCAGATCGGTTGCATCTGCTTGTCGAGGAAGACCACATGTACCGCTTTGTGCTGTCGCTACAGTACTCCACCCCTAGTGCCATCCTGCTTGGAGCGATTGCGAGCCTCAGAGGTTATGCTGTCAAGGAAGCATCGGCACTTCTATTCTGGCAGCACATTTGTGCGGTGCTATCTCTCTCCATCTACCTGATCGTATATTTCAGGTTGCTTACCATTTGAAAGATGATGGCCGGCCGCCTTCCAAAATTGGTTTGTAGCATTCATCCTCGGAAGTGATTTCTAGGGAGATGGGTACTTGAATGGATTTTCAACCACGTCTCCTTATGGTCAAGTGTATTTATAGTATATTTAATTTTTTTTTAGCGATTTATATTTCAGATACATGTAGAACTTGAGAACATGAGATATGTTCTTGTCGTTCATTAGTGTCAATATATTGCTGTTCGCTTGCACATTTCTTGATCCGATTACAGCATTACAGTTGCTGCTCAAAAGTTGTACAAGTACTGCTACATTAGAAGTCAATATATTGCTGTTTGATGCAGTGATGCTTAAATATACATGCTCTTATGGATTAAATGTATGTAATTTGTTAGTGATTTGTATTTCAGTTACATGTAGAACTTGAGAACAGGATATATATGCTCTTGTTGTTCATTAGTGTCAATATATATTGCTGTTCACTTGTGCATTTCTTGATTCGATTGCAGCATTACAGTTGCTACCCCAAGTTGTCCTTTTCTAACAGCTTCATTAGAAGTAATATATTTGTTATATGATGTTTAAAATACTAGATGATGTCCCGCGCTTTGCGGGATATATGTTAGATATTGGAGAAATGATGAAATGATTTGGATTGAAATATTATAAAAATGATTTGAGAATGTTGATTTAGCATATGTATGTTTAGCTTTAGAATAAAATAAATTGTAGATATAATTACTATATGCTTGCATTTTGAGCTTTGTGTGCTTAATGGGTTGATGTGGCATTCTTGCATGTAGGTTTTAGAAGTGCTAATAAATACTATGCTTGTATGTTGAGCTTTAGGTGTTTAGTGGATATTAGCTTTATAGAAAGAAGGGATAAGTGTCAGTGATAGATTTGAACGGCATTTAACAGTATTTTTTCACTCATTGATCGTCTTCTAATGGTCAGAAGACACTGCCTTTTAAGATGATGAAAGACAGCATTTATTTTTATTTTTCTTCAAGTTGAAGACTAAAGCAATGAACTTAAAATTAGCATCCATTTGATCAATTCCCAAGCATAGAATTCAAACTTGGAGATCCATCCTTCTGAACTGACAACAATAATAATAATGCATTTTGAAGTAAACTGAGGGAGTGATGATTAAGGTTATTGTAATTTGTTCAAGGCGCTGACAAGTGGGGTCGTCTCTACTATTTTATTTCTTGGACTGGAATCCTGAACATGGTTTTGGTCTAGGAATCTTCTGCTTAGCTTTAACATGAACATTTAATGTTTAGATCGGATCAGAGAGGCTAATGATCTTGTTAACCCTTCTATTCTTAGCACTACAAAGCACATGGCATAATAATGTATCTTTATTGTCACTCCCACTGGGAAATGCGAAGGGGGCTCTGGTCTTATGGACATTCATTTTGATCAGTGCACAGATTGTCTTAGATGGATGCACATCATCAGGACAGTGCTAGACAGATCAAGGATCAAATATTGTTTAATGTAATCCTGCAGGAATCATCCATTGTTTATTAATGGCTTCAGATTTGATCTTGGTGTCGCTACATGTCATTGTTTAATGGCTTAATGCCGTGAGATCTGTCAGATACTCAGATGATGCACCAATAGTATTTGCTGTCCTGTTTTATTCCTCAGTTGCTAGATATTTCATCTGTTCTTGAAGAACTGACATGGTTAACTATGACCGTCACTCTAACCACAAATATTTGTTATATGATTGTATTACGAGAAACGTAAGTTGTATAGTTACATTTCTGATGCTATACATTTTGATAATATAAACTATTTTGAAGTATTTATAATTTTTTCCTCTCATGACATATTTTGAAGCATTTATACATTTTCCAAAAGGGATGAGCAATGTTAAAAGTTCTGTAACCATGCCGTACGACTAGCATCCAATCGTGCCTCTCTATTTAGGCCTACTCCCTCTGTCCCCAAAAAAAGGCAAATCATGGGTTTACGTGTCCAACTTTGACTGTCCGTCTTATATGAAATTTTTTTATAATTCGTATTTTCATTGTTATTAGATGATAAACCATGATTAATATTTTATGTGTGACTTGTCTTTTTAATTTTCTTTATAATTTTTTCAAATAAGACGAACGGTCTAATGTTGGACACGGAAACCAGGGTTTGTCTTTTTTTGAGACGGAGGGAGTACTAGATAATAGCACTCCATCCGTCCCATAAAAAACAAACTAGTATTGGATATGACACATCATAATCCTACGAATCTAGACAGAGATATGTCTAGATTTGTTATACTAGAATGTACGAATCTAGACATAGACATGTCTAGATTCGTTGTACCAGAATGATTGTCCCATAAAAAAACAACCTAATACTATACATGACACATCCTAATATAATGAATCTGGACATACCTAGAATGTGAATCACATCCGGTACTAGATTCTTTTTTTTCGTTTTTTTGAACCGAGGGAATACATCTCTAGGTGGTTATAGAAAAAACATTAGTTATATCTTATACATTAGTTGAGTCAAAACCTAGGTGGTATATATAGCCATTTCGTTAATTGTAACCTTAAAACGGACAGAGTACACAGTACACACCACGTAGTAATTCTAACTTTCTCGTACTTGCCGAATGCCTGAATGCATCTGTTTATTCGATCGATGTTGCTCAGTCCACAGCTCCATAGGCCGATTTCAACCTTATTAATTCCTACCATCACTCTGATCAGATCAATTGAATTTAGCGACCACTTGTTCTCTATTTTCACGACGAACGCTGCCTGGATGGACTAATCTGTATATACGATGAAACAACCATCCAGCCGATGCAAAACAATGTAAACCGGGCTAGACCTTCGACTGGCCAATGGCAAGTGAAAACGGTAGTAGAAAAGGTAGAAAAGCAGTAAGAACTCTAGATGTACGCAAGTCGCACCATACCATGTACACCTCGTGACCTCGCCCTGCCTATCAACAGGGCACCCGACCAAACTAACTCAATCCATGAATAAAAAGGTCCTTTTCTCTGAACACAAGCTAGTAGGGTTCATCAACACAAGCTAGTAGGGTTCAACATCACAACTAAACGCAGCAGGCAAAATTGTTTGTTCCTCACACCAAGATCTCCAGGTGTGGCTCCTTGTCTCCTGCGGCTTTATTTTCGGTTTTTTTTTATTTATATGGTGAACAAAGGGAGGCTGATTGTCCCAGGCGAACTCTCGATGTCGGTGCAGGCTGATCACAACAGAGGGGAGGGGAAGGAGAGGAGCCTGCAATGTTGTTGTCATGGTTGAAAACTTGAAATGGTGTGCATTTTCTCCTAGTTCTGCGCCAGGTTGCGGATGACGTATGGGAGGATGCCTCCATGGTTGAAGTATGCCAGTTCCACCTATATAGCACAACAAAGAACGACGTAATATGTAAGCAAACCGGTTGAGAGGACCTAAGCAGCTGTAATGAATTCTCCATACGGAACTGGCCTGGTAAGTTTATCCAACGAGTATTTGGAAAGTATGTACCTCTGTGTCAAAGCGAAGAGTACAAGTGAAGGATTTCCCGTTGTCGGTTGTGACGGTAATGTCCTGCCCGGGACGGATCTCGCTGACGTTGGTCGGGAGGTCGATGGTATACCGCTCATGTCCAGTAAGGCCAAGTGAGTCGGCATCCTCACCAGCCTTGAAGCAGAGAGGAATGATTCCCATACCCACCAGGTTGCTTCGGTGGATACGCTCAAAGCTCTTAGCGATCACAGCTTTAACACCCTGAAAACAGCATGTACTTAATAATGCTATACTTCCCCAAACATGAGTATCAAAACAAGATGACGAATCTAGATATGGGGAGTTACCAGGAGCATCGGTCCCTTGGCAGCCCAGTCACGAGAACTGCCACTTCCATACTCAGCACCAGCAAGAACAATAGTGTCATGACCCTCAGACTTGTATTTCTGCATTAATGTACCAGACAAAACCAAGGATGTTAGTCGATACAACAACAGTATCACATCGTCTGTCTACATACTAGCAACATACCAAGGCAGCATCAAATACATAGAGCTTCTCCCCTGTAGGGACATGAACGGTCTTGGGTCCAACTTCTCCATTCAAAAACTTGTTCACAATCCTGATGTTCGCAAATGTTCCTCTTGCCATTACTTCATCATTACCACGACGGCTACCATATGAATTGAAGTCCTTACGGTCCACACCACGCTCAAGCAAGTACTTGGCAGCAGGGCTGTCTTTGTGAATGCTACCTGCTGGTGAAATATGGTCTGTCGTAATGCTGTCCCCAAAGTTCAGTAAGCAGTAGGCATTCTTCACCCCATGGGGGCCAGGTGGGGACATGGTCATGTCCTTAAAGTATGGAGGCTCATGGATGTAGGTGGAGTTTGGATCCCACGAATAGAGCGATGCTTCGGGCACGGTCAGCTGATTCCACATCGGGTTGCCTTTTGTAATAGCCTCGTATGTACTTTTGAACATATCAGGCAGTACGCTAGATTGGACCACCTGTCAAGTAGCATTTTATTGCCAATAATTAAGCGAGACTCGAGAGATAAATATCTCCAATAAATGAAACTCACACTTACAGATGAAAATCTGAAACATATTAAAATAACATCACAGAACACGTACTTCTGCAATTTCTTCAGTTGAGGGCCATATGTCCCTGAAGAAGACTTCTTTACCATCCTTTCCAACTCCAATCGGCTCTTTCTCAAAATCAATGTCAACCTGAAAAGTACAAGTTCTAATGTTAGCAGGCTCCCTGAGACAAAAGCAAAGATAGGCAAAATTTTAATACCATGCCAACCCTTCCAACAGAATCGAGTTAATATGAGTATCAAGGAGGAGAAAACAACACAAACTTACAGTGCCAGCAAGTGCATATGCAACCACAAGAGGCGGTGAAGCAAGGTAATTAGCCCGGGTCAATGGGTGCACACGACCCTCGAAGTTACGGTTGCCCGACAGAACAGCAGCAGCAACAACATCTATAAAAAAGAAAACCATAAGTTGCCAATAGAGAAACTCATTGGCTCGTTGCAGCTAAATATTCAACATTCATAGAATCTAGATGTACCATTTTCTGAAATGGCAGCTGATACAGATTCATCTAGATCACCAGAGTTGCCAATGCAAGTGGTACAACCATATCCAACAACATGGAAACCTTGCTTGTTCAAGTATTCTTGAAGGCCACTGCACAGAGAAATTACCATGTTTGGTTGAGATTGGTCCAGATATGACACTGGAATTTCATCTTTACTAAAATTAGTTATTCAATGACACGAAGGTACCTCTGTAACAAGTATTTAGTGACAACCCCAGATCCAGGGGCAAGGCTTGTCTTTACCCATGGTTTCACCTGAAGAGAAATGGCATTGCACAGTCAACAGAGAGCAGATAAAAGAAGGCAATGCAACAATCTGTGAAAACATGACGAAGATCAAACCTCAAG